TGCCTTTTGACCCCATCTGCAGCCAGGATGGCCAGGGCTCCTCTGCAGGAAGAGGCTGCTCCCGGTGGGGTCCAGATCCTCACCCATCCTCAGGCGGCACCGTCACTGGGATCAGAAAACCATTCTGCAGGTCAGGGACAACATTCACATCATGACAATCCATGAGGCGTGGGCTGCAGGGCAGCAGCCCCTTGTCTCAGAGCAGGGTTCTGGAGGAGCCACAGTGCCCATCACCTGCCTTTTCTTTGTCCCAGAGCAGAGGAGGGAAGTGATGCATCTCAATGCAGCAGCACTTTATCCACCTGTGTGGCTGTGTTGCAGTATTTTTCACGACTGGTACAGCCACTCCAGTGAAATCTGGCAGAACAGAGTCCCCGGGAAAAGTATGTGGGACAGCACTTGTGCTGGTGCATCCAGGTGGCCTTCCCAGAAGCAGCCCTCCCTGCAGGTTCTCCCATGCCATCTGGGTTTTGTCGTGCTGGTTGCTGGTTCCGTTTTTATCATCCCACCTTTGCTTCAGTGAGGCCTGTATTTAATCCTTCCCACCCATCAGGCTGGGTGGGAGAATACTGGCTCCGTCTTACAGAAGAGAACATCTAAGCTGCTTAATTGTAGTAAGTCTCAACATCTCAGTCTGGCTTTGCCCTGTCCCTTTGACACTGTGGGACCTACTTTAATGGTCAGGCCACACCCTACTTTATTCTCTGAGAGGAGCTTGGTCCCGGACGGTTAAGTGTGAAGAATTACACCCAGTAAAGCACTGCCGACCCTTCGGTGGTTCCCACTGCCATCTAGAAAAAGCCACTGGACAGTGGGCAGACCCAGTGGAAGGAAACAGAAAGTAAAACGCACTGTAAAATGTTCGCTTCGTGGGGTTCAGATGAACGTTCTATCTCCCATCCTGTGAGTTTCCATATTCAGCACTTTTTGCTTTTCAGCAGTAAAAGCATTCTCTGTGGGAGGAGAATTTAACTTTGATCTTTAGAGATGCCCTTTAAATGTGGTTATGGTCAAAAAAGTGACTGTGAACACTCAAAGTCAACAGGCAAAGGTAAATACCACGGGAGACCTGGAGCAGCACTGAGCGGGAGGCCCGTGAGGCACAGAAGGCCATGGCTCTGGATTCTGTTACAGCGCACGGTCCTGGGAGGACGCATGGATCCTCTTCTCCGAGCTCACTTAGGCTCAGACCCTTCATTTGTAAAACACCGTTAAATAAAGTACCGTCGTCTGCAAATAACTCCAATTGCATCTTCTAGGAATTCTTTCTCTGGGTCATCCACTGCCGAGCCCCCTCCCCAGGAAGTGGAATTTTAAGTCAAAGGGGAAAGGCACTTGGGAGGGGGAATGATGTTCAACAAGACTCCTTGAAAAGTCAGCCGGGGGCCAGACGCGGTGGCTCACACCTGTAATCCCAGCACTTTGGGAGGCCGAGGTGGGTGGGTCACCTGAGGTCAGGAGTTCGAGACCAGCCTGACCAACATGGTGAAACCCCCGTCTCTACTAAAGATACAAAAATTAGGTGGGTGTGGTAGGGGTGGGGGGTGTCTGTAATCCCAGCTACTTGGGAGGCTGGGGCAGGAGAATCACTTGAACCCGGGAGGCAGAGGTTGCAGTGAGTCGAGATTGCACCATTGCACTCCAGCCTGGGCAACAAGAATGAAACTCCATCTCAAAAACAAAAAAAGAGAGAAAGAAAGAAAAGAAAAGTCAGCCGGGCCCTCTGAGGCTCTGTGGCAGATTTGGCTGTGTGCTACGGCCTAAAATTGGAGATGGCAAAGTGGAAACGGTTTAGGGGAAGAGTAGAAGCTTTGCAGTCAAGCCAGCAGTCTGGAGACTCACTAGGTGAAGGCCGGAGGCCAGGAGCAAACCTCTTTAAGCCTCAATTTTCTTTTCAATAATATAAGGATCCTAACTCATATTTTAAGAGGTTAAATGAGGTGATGATAGTAAAAGTTCCTTGGAAACTTCATGTCAGTAAATAATACATATTCTATTTGATCGTTCTCATTTTAAAAAGTGGTCCTTGTTTGGCTTTTGTCTGTTGTTTATTTTGATTTTGTTGTTTGGAGATAATTCCACTATGTGTTTATCAGAGGACTTAGACTTTAATGCTGAGATTGATTCCCCCTCACTGTGTGAACCTAGAAAGGTTATGCTTTGTGCCTCAGTTTCCCCACCTGCTCAGTCATGGTGCTGATTCCTGCCAGCCAGTGTCGATAACCACAGTGAAAGGATACTCAGACAGTCACCTCTACAGCCTTTGAATATGGGTTTTCGGTTGCCGAGTAAAATGCTCTGAGATGTTCCGGTTACTATGGCTACATAAGAAATTACCCCGAAACCTAGTGGCATAAACCAACTATTAGGCTCGTGAGTTTTGTTATCCTTCACTGAAGGCTCGTCACTCTGAAGTCTGGAGGTTGATGTTGTTGTGGTTGGCTGTGGCCTCGGTTCCTCTCCTGTGGGCCTCTCCATACGGTTTCTCAGTTTGGGCTAATTTGAGCTTCCTCACAGTATGGTGGCGATTTCCATGGACTAGAGGCCCAAGAGAGAACAAGAAGCAGGTGGAAGTCATAATACCTTTATCACCTTGTCCCGGAAGTCATGCAAGGCCATTTCTTGAAGCAATCACAAAGTTCCGTCTGGGTTCAAGGGGGGAGAAAATAAGCTCCGCCTTTTGATGGGAAGAGAGAGGCAAAGATCCAAAATATTCTGACGGTCATTTGGAGAAAATGCGACTGTGCCCCATGCAAAGGAGTTTTCAGTTAATGCTTTTTTGGTGACTGACTAATGTTTCCTATCTTCTTCCTTATCCAACTTGCCATAAAATTTACCTCCTCTTCCCTTTTCATTCCCTGCCCTCTATGCAGTGGAAATAAGGAGCAAGAAATGGGTGCGTGTAGGGAGGAGAGAGAAGCAAAAGGGTTGGCCTTGCTCACAGCAGCCACCTACTCTTGACACTTCAGATTAGACTTGGAGTGACCCCAACCCAGGCTGATCACCCCCACTGCTGCAGAGCCTGCTGGGTTCCCAAAGCAGAGAACACGGAGGGCTTTGCATCTAAGTGTCTTGTTTACATTTCGTATTCTCTCCGACTGGCAGGAGAAGGGACTTCATGTCATTATGCAAAGAACGTAATAAAAAGCCAAAGCTAGTGTGCTCCCTGTGGTGACCCTGGGTAACGGATATGCCAGAGATTAGCGTCCCAGAGCCCTGCACCGGGAGCGGCTGAGTGGGCCCACTGAGCAGGGCAGCCACAGGGAACTTGGTCGGGTTGCTTTTGACATTCCTTTCACCGACCAACTCCAGCCAAGCCGCTCAGCCCCAGACAACTGTCCTTAGGAGATTCAGGGCAGGCCAGAAGGAAAGGAATGGGAAGGACACATGGGACATTGGTGCTTCTCAGGCCCCGTGTCTTGGGTCATTCTGTGTTAGAAATAAAACTCAGCTTACATATAAGGAAGAACAGACAGAAAGGGTCTCCCACTCATGTCCACATGTGGCGTTTTTCCTCCTCTAACTCCACTGGACTCATAACTGTGAAATATTTGTTCCTTCCCACACATAGGACAATGGCAGAAATTTCTCTTATGTCTTCCCAAATGAAATGGGGAGATCCTGAAGCCACCCTCTTCCTCTTTCCTTGCCCCTCTGGAGGCTTTTCCGTCTCGGTCTTAGCTAGGCTGTTTGGAGATGCAATTGTTTGCTCATCGTTCATATCGGCCAGGCCATCGTGCGGCTATGCTCTGACCACATCCCCATCACTCAATTGATGTGCACATGAAAAGTAACATTTGACTTAATCTAAGGAAAACAAATGTTGGAAGACACATTTGTGAGTACAAAAAGAAAAGATACATATAGGCATATATACGTGACAAATTCCAAAATAAGTGAAGTTTTAAAATTCATGAATGTACAGAGGTACCCACGCCATTCTTCTGATATTCACTGAGTATGTGGTGTACGAACAACAGTATAAATAGGTGCTGGCCACCTACAATTTTCATTATCTCACAACAGATGCCTCCTCTCCTCATTCACAGGGCTATTCAGGCTATACAACAGAGCCTTATCTATGCCACCTAGAGGCCTGGACTCAGAAGCCAGAAACAGGCAGAGGGCTGAGCCTGCAATGGAATGACAGCCATGGTTTTAAAGGAAGAGTGGACATGCAGATTAGTGAAATCGGCTCTGCTCTCTAGGAGCCCATGGGATTTGCATTTCAGACTCTATCATCACCAAATCTACTTACTAGAAATTTAGGCAACTAATCTTTTAAACAATCAACATGCGGAGAAGTAGGTATCGCTCTGGCTTTATCTGAACTCCCTCTTGACCCATCTCCAACCCAGTGTTTCTCACGCCATTTCTCAGCATTGACCTTCATTAAAAATTTTTTTTAACTTCTTTTTTTTTTTTGAGACAATGTCTTCCTCTTGTTGTCCACGCTGGATGGTAAGATCATGGCTCACTGCAGCCTCCACCTCCTGGGCTCAGGTGATCCTCCCACCTCAGTTTTCCAAGTAGCTAGGACCACAGGCACACTACCACACCTGTTTTCTTATTTTTTGTAGGGAAAGAGTTATGCTGTGTTACCCAGGCTGGTCTTGAATGCCTGAGCTCAAGCACTCCACCTGCTTTAGCCTTCCAAAGTGCTGAGATTATGGGCATGAGCCACTGTGCCCAGCTTTTTAAACAATTTTTTTCTTTTGAGACTGAGTCTCACTATATTGCCCAAGCCAGAGTGCAGTGCCGCTATCTCGGCTCACTGCAACCTCCGCCTCCTGGGTTCAATCAATTCTCCTGCCTCTGCCTCCTGAGTAGCTGGGATTACAGGCACCCACCACCACGCCTGGCTAAGTTTTGTATTTTTAGTAGAAACAGGGTTTCACCATGTTGGCCAGGCTGGTCTCGAACTCCTGACCTCAGATGATCTTCCCACCTCAGCCTTCCAAAGTGCTGGGATTACAGGCGTGAGCCACCGTGCCTGGCCACATTTTTAAGTATTTACTTTGCTCCAAGAAGTTTAGGTGCTTGATTTAGGTACTTTACTCATATTTTCTCATTTTATCTTTATCCAGAATTGCCAGGTTAGGTACTGATATTATCTCCAACCTACAGATGAGGAAATGAAGTTCATAGAAGTTGTACTAGATGCAGAATGAGCAGCAGATGAAGCTTGTATAGAAACGCAAATCTCTCTGACTCGAGATTGTGCTCTAAGTTACAATAAACACTGCAGTTACCCTCAAAGAGCTTATGGTCTAATTGAGAGGACAGAAAATTCATAAGAAAGAACCTGTAAAGAGCTGTGGTTATGTGCTTAGGCTGTAGACCTGAATTTGGATCCCACATCACACTCATTTTTTGTGCGACTGAGCAAGTTATTTCACTTTTCTGAATATCCATTTTCTCGTCTGAAAAAATTAGAGTACATCCCTCATAGAATTGCCGGGAGGATTAAATTAGGTTACTCATGTAAACAGTGTTTTATACTTAATAAGTGCTGTGATTATTACTACTTGTATCTGTTGCCTGTAATGACGACAGAGGGTGTATTATGTACTGAAGGCACCTTGCCCAAACTGGAGGAGAAAAAGCGTCCTACCGAGACAAGTGCATTGTCGGTAGCATGCCCCCGCTGGATCCAGGACCAGGAGGAGGTCGTGGAAAGGAAGCATTTCTATCCGCAAATGTGAGTGATCTGCTATAGCTCAGATGCCACCCCAAGCAGCTCACCTTGCCAGAGGTCTCTGGTAAAGGGGCATCATTGGGTACAAATGGGCTGGGACACTTCCCTGCCTGGAGCAAGGGACCCTGTGCTACCCTCTGGATCTAGGATTCAGTGGCTGAGAGGTCAGAGCCTCCGGACCCACAGACCTAGGCTTTCCAGCATTCTGCAAAGGAAAGTGCTTCTCAGAAGCCAATGACTAAGCCAGCCTGGGGGTTCCTTTTATGGTGACAATTGTTGGGTCAAGAAGGAACCCCAGAATGGAGCCCCACACAGGGCTAGGAGCCCGTGCCTCCTGTCGTTCTCACTTGGAAGTCAATTTTACATGGCATGGTCTAAAGCCCCATGGAGCCCACAAGTCTTTTAAATAATAACTAACTTCTCTTCCCTTGAATAAAATCATCAGCAACAATAGGAGAAGCAAAGTCATTAGAAACGGAAGGAATGTAGTCCTTCTGAGGATGGCTGGTGAATTTGCATGCTGGTGTTCTTTCTACATCCAGCCTATCACCTCAGTTAAATACTTATTGATGATTTATCGGTGGAAAGTTCTTGAACGCTAGCAACATGCTCATTTCCTTGTAAGCTTTAAGTATAAGGAAGAGTTTTAAGTTTAAAAAGTTTTAAGAGTTTAAGTAAAGAGCTTTATAAGACACACATGAAATAGCAACAGCTCCTCATGTATAACAAGCTGCAAATAAGTGAAATTTCTCCAACTCAGCAGCTCCTCGCCTGCAGACAGCAGCACCCACATCAAGTTGCCCAGACTCATTCCTCTTGTTTGCCTTCTCCATCCCTACTCTGGTCTTCCTAAAGCAGTTTGGAGAAGGCTCCCTACTGCCAGTGGCATCATAAAAATGACAGTGTACTTGGCAAGGGCATGATCTTGGGGTGCTCCTAAAGCTATTGAACTGCAAAAGGGGGTGCCATTTATTTGCAGAAGCAGCAAGAATGTTCTCCTCCCCAACTCTGCTTTTTCACTTGGGTCTCATATCAGCTTGTTTGGGGCCTTATCTCCCCAAATCTTTTATTCTGCTTAGTGGCCCTCACCTCCCTTCCCTTGCCCATATTAGCTTTTCAAATTCAGCCCAATGAGACAGACAGGGAACCCTTCTCCTTCATCTTCTCTCTCTTCACAGCCCCCATGATCTATCACTTCTTTTCTCCACATTGTAATGGAAAAAAGTTTTTGGTTTAGCAATGATTGCAAATAGAAGGGGGATGTGTGTGTCTGTGTGTGTGTGTGTGTGCATGCATGCATAACCAAAGCGGTATTCTCACGAGCTGTTAACAGCTCAAAGGAGTCAGAAGTCATCACCAGAAAGGTTTCATGGAAACAGGAAGCTCTCAGGAAGATCTCACTTACCTTACACAATGGCACAGATAATTGTGCATCAGGGTGAAAGGCTAAAGAAAGGTTACTTGCAGCAAAAGGAACCACAAAATTAAGACACAGAAGCATACCTGAGTAGGGCTTGTCTAGTGGAGCAGTGAGAATAGTTAGACTTGGACAGAAGTTGCAGCAAGAGGAAGTTGTGCAATGTAAGGGTGGCAGGTGGGACAAAGATGACCTTTGGAAGACAAGTGGCTGATAAGAGATTTGCTGTGGTCTATCTCTAGGGAGCTCTCTGAGGGTTTTAAGCAGATTGTGGCAGGATGACAACGGTATTCACAACTTGCAAGGGAGCTGGATCCAGCCAAGGAGTGCGCGAGGTGTACTGAACAAGGGAAGAGCATGTCAATGGGCCATCAGGGAGGGAAGAATCTCAGAGAGAAATGCCCAGACTGGACAGTAGTGTGAGGCATTCGCGGTGAACCAGGACGCTCTCCTCCTACAACGTTGCCACTTGATTGGAGTTTCCTTGATTGTGAACCACATTCTTAAGGAAACTTTTATTCCAAAATGAGTTCAAACAGGTTTTGTGCCCTTTCTACACCTACACTCTATCTCATCACTTGTTTTTTCTAGCTGTGTACCACCCACTTCCTTAATAAGTCTCTCCTAGGTCTGCCTCCAGAACCCGGCTTTGTGTTCCCTGTGCACTCTCTTTGCTGTAAGTCTGGATTTTGCCGTCTGCATGTCCCCTTGGACAGGACAATCCTGTGTTCACTGTTGCCTGGCCCACCCTCTTTGGCTAATGATGAGAGGAACTTTTTGCCCGTCTATTGGAGCATCACTGTGCCCAGTCCTGCCTCCCGGGCTTATTTGCCTCTGATAGCCCATCATCTTCTTCCCCAACCTAGAAGAGGGAAGGGAAAGAAATTATTTTACTGGAAACCCCAAGGTTCATGAATGATAAACTAAGAATGTAAGCCATTCTCTACAGCAGAAGATGCTACCTGATTCCTGAACTGTCATCTCTTTTTGTAGCAGGACTGTGGTGCATGCTCTTCACCCTTATCACCAAAAGACACTTAGGGGTCATAGGTGGTAATGTGTCCTCTGCTTCCAGGGTGGAACTCAAGGAATTTCATGGAGTCAGGGCCAGCTGTCTGAAAGGTTGCAATGTCACCCTTTTCAGCTCGGAACCATAATTCCTTATGCCCAGGTAACAGTCCAAAATTTAGGATACGAAGCCAAAGCTGATCTCTAGCTGAAATCAAGAGTGGATATGATAACCAAGAAACAAATGGTTCTGACAAGCACAGCTTTACTCTGAGCATGACTCAAGGGCATCTGGTAGAAAATGAAGAAGCGTCTCAGCAGATATTAGGTCTAGGGAGATCCCCTCGGCTGGAGGATGTAAGTGTTTTAATATTGTGTGGGCAGCTCTGCTTTGAATGCACCTCTGGATGCACCTACACTCCAAAGCCGTCTGGTGCAAAAGCAGGACTCATAGAACATATTCCAGGATTTTTTCCCTGATCCCAGCTGAAAACAGCCATAAGAGAGCCTCCTTTTTTGAATTATGGCTGTGAGTCTGCTGGGGTGGAGAATGGCCCTGGGAGAGGAGAGAAAGCCCACGGAGCAGGTTGTAATTCCACAGGCATATGAAGAGCATTCATTCTGAAGAAGCCATTCAATTCAGGAATGTGGATTACACAAGGAAAGTACACAAATGCCAGCTTTAACAAGTGCTGTTCACCTATCACTACATTTTCAAGTAAAGATGGTGTATCCATTTGCTAGGGTTTCCATAACACATACCAGTGGCTTAAGCAAAAGAAATTTATTTGCTCAGAGTTCTGGAGGCTGGACGTCCAAGATCAGGGTGCCAGCAGGATTGGTTTTCCTCAGAGACCTCTCTCCTTGGCTTGCCGATGACTGCTGTGTCCTCACGTGGCAGCCCCTCTGTGCACACACTTCCCTGGGGGCTCTCTGCGTGTCCAAATTCCCTCTCCTTCTAAGAACACCAGTCGTATTGGATTTGAGCCCACCCTATCAGCCTCATTTCACCTCACCCCCTTAAAGGTCCTATCTCTAAATACACTCACATTCTGAGAACTGCAGGTAAGGGCTTCAGCATATGAATTTTGTGAGGTCACAAGGCAGCCCCTAACAGGTTGCCTAAGAGAATCTTTGTTTGAATGTTGATAATCATGATACCTAACATGTTCTGAGTATGACTTACTCTGTGCCAGAGACTGTTCTAAGTACTTTGCATGTATTATCACATCTATTATTCACAATTATAGATTATATAATTATTGATTATAGAGATTATATATCAATTATAGATGACTACCATTTTCTCTGAAGACTTACTTTGGTGTAATTATATGGCTGTAGTGAACACTATGCCCTGGTCCCTGACCTTGGATGCCTGTGATTCGATGTGACATGGAATAATGGAAGGCTCTTATCCTCATGTTTTGATTGGTAGCAGATCTCCGGAATGTGCAAGGTTTTTTGTTGTTGTTGTTGTTGTTGTTGTTATGCAATGGCACGATCATGGCTCACTGCAGCCTCTACTTCCGGGGCTCAAGTGATCCTCCCACCTCAGCCTCCCAAGTAGCTGGGTACATGCCACCACATCTAGCTAATTTTTTCTTTCTTTCTTTCTTTCTTTTTTCTTTTTCTTTTTTTTTTTTTTTTTTTTTGGTAGAAACAGAGTTTCTGCACATTTCCCAGGCTAGTCTAGAACTCCTGGACTCAATCGATTCTCCCACCTCAGCCTCCCAAAATGCTGGGATTACAGGCATGAGCCACCATGCCTGGCCAAGACTTCTTTTCTTAATCCATGATCTCCCAGAGTCACACCCAAGTCAGTGATGGAATAATACGAGTGGGAGGACCCAACAGCCTCTTTCAGAGAGTCTTGCCCTGACTGGCACTTCACGTGTCTGGGATTCCTCTTTCGTCCTTTGGTTGGCTGAGTCACCAACATTGAGATCTATAGGATGTACCAGCACCTCCTGGAGGGCCCTCAGCAAACTGCTGAGCATTTCTTACAAGCTACACCCCCAGACCAGATCTTCTCACTTAATCCACCTATCGACTCTGTGCTAAAGCTATTTTTATCCCTGTTACAAATAAGGAAACTGAAATTGGCCTGGCCACAGCCATGGGCCCCACCCTTCCCTTGTGTGACCTTGAGCAGCACACCTAGCCTCTCTGGGTGGATCTCACTGGCCTTGCCTAGAAAATAAATGCTGGATCTCCTCTCTCCCCTCACTGCTGATGACTCCACTCAGCTCATAAGAGGCATTTCCGCTTATGCCTGGAAGAATCTAGCATTCATACACCACCACAATACTACATTCCATGCCAAGTCACCACTATTCTTGGCCTCCCTATCTCCACCGTCCTTTTTGGGGGTCCCAGACTACAGAACCAATAAATGAACCCACTTTCATGAATCCTCCATCCCTACTCCACTGCCCAAAGTCTGTCCTCACCCAGGTAACCTGCAAACACCCATCTGGTTTGCATAGGGGCAAATCTGCCCCCTGGAGTGTGAGTCAAACAGGAACTTCCAGACAAGCTGTCCTGGGGCAGCCCTGGGCCACCTTGCCAGCTCAAAGCAAGAGTGCCACTTGCTTGAGTGAAGAGTGACACTGGGCTTTCTGTCTCTTCTCTGGCCCTGCAGGAGGCTCTGTCGGTGGTGAGCGACGACCAGTCCCTCTTTGACTCAGCATACGGAGCGGCGGCCCATCTCCCCAAGGCCGACATGACTGCCTCGGGGAGTCCTGACTACGGGCAGCCCCACAAGATCAACCCCCTCCCACCACAGCAGGAGTGGATCAATCAGCCAGTGAGGGTCAACGTCAAGCGGGAGTATGACCACATGAATGGATCCAGGTAAGCTCGCCAGGCCTATGCAGGACTGGAGGAAAGCGCCAAGTCACCAGATCTGCAGTAAGTGGCTTCGGGCACTTAAGGTTTTTGCAGCAGATGGAGCTCTGGAGCTGGGCCAGGAAGCCTGTGTCAGTCTCTAGAGAGCTAAGGCAGAGAGGGCCACACACTGAAGATGGGATGGAGTAGGGCCAGGAAGACCCCCGGCTCTCTGGGGCCCATGCAGCCCTCAGAGGCCAGGTAAGAGTCAGGCCCCAAGCACCTGTGCAGACGCTCATGGAACACTTACTTCTTGTTAATCCCAGGCCCAGGTCCAGTCCTCTTGGGGACAGCTTAGTGGGAAGCTATTCTTCCCTGTCCCGTTGAAGATACTTAACCCCTCTGGGCGGGTCTCAGCAGAGCAAAGGTGACCAAACCATTCTTTAGTAAGAGTGGAGAAGGGATGAGGAAGGTGGACGCCTGTGGGGGCTCACTGTGTCTGGGAGTGGGCAGGCACCTGGAAAGTGTGCATGAAGGAGGTACAGTACTGGGTCAGTTCAGGCTTTGCCTGTAGAAATGGAGACAGGAGGGTCCAGGGAGAGAAAATCACAGGGTCATGGAAGAGGACAGTGGACAGGCAGCCTCAGTTTCACATCCTGCCTCTGTCCCTTGGGCAAGTTATCGAAACCCCTCAGAGCCCCAGCTTTCTCCTTTCTCAGGCAGGACTGGGATATTCACTTCCTCAAGGCTCCTTACTCTAGCGTTACTCTGATGCCGCAGGGAAAGGACCCGGGATGGTGCCTGAGACGCGTTAGGCACGTGCTCTGTAGTGACAGTGATTGTTATGAGCAAAGACTTGAAAGACAGAGAACATCAGTCTCATTCACAAAATACCAGGTAATCTACTGGGCCAAAGGCACAAAGAGATGAAAATAAAGAGTAAGAGAGGGCCCTGAATGGCAGGCTGAAAACTTGTGCCGTTGATTCCACAGCCAGAGGCTGACTTTGAGCACAGATGTGACATGTAACCTCATCAGAGCAGTGACTTGAGACTAGCGAACTGACAATCTTTCTGCACAGAGGGTAGGATGGGAGAGTCAGAAAGACAAGTGAAGAAGTTAGTAAAATACCCCAGATAGGAAATAATGAAGTTCTGAACTAAGTGATGGTAGTGATTATGGAAATTGAACAGGATAGATACATAAGGGAGATAGCAAAGAGATGATTAACAGGGCTTAGGTGAATAAAGTGTGAATGAAGGGGGTACGTGACAGGAAAGAACCAAAGGCCACTAAAGCCTGACATTTTAAAGTCTGGTGCTGTGAGCAGCTGCAGAAAGGTGGCACAGGAAATGCTTTAGGATGGGATGTCAATGTTCTCTTTGAGATGCCTTGTGAGCAATCGGTAGAACATCCAGATAAAAACGTCTACTAGACTTTGGGAACTGAAGCTCAGATAATCTTTCAGGCCTGGAATTTAGGTTTGGGCATCATCTCTAAGGAGTTTGAACTGTGAAAGTGGATGAGGTCACCGAGGAAACCAGTCAGGATTGAAGAGAGAGAAGGGAATGAGCGTGGTTGGGAGGGAGAACTCCAGGGCAGCCCGTGGCCTCAGACCTGCCTGTGGGAACTCCCAGCCCTACCACATTTCAACCCCACTAACCAAAACCAGCGACTGGGATCTCAGCCACCTTTCCAGATCCTGGGATTTCAGGAAGGCTCAGAGGTTCTGAGCCCACAGCCCCTCAGATGAGTCTCCCTCCAGAGGTAATTCTGATGGTGCTGGAGTTCCTAACAGTCGAAGGACATGGTGTGTTGAACATTTTCCCATATTATCTTACCACTTGTTCCCCACGACTGTCCTACGAAGTAGTTACTGTAACTTCATAGTTACACAGGAAGGCAAGTGGGGCTTTCAGGGGAGATTGCTTTGTCTAAGGATTTAGAGGAGGCAAAGCTGGAGCCCAAACCCAGGCATGTGGTTCCAGCCCCACGTGCCATCCGCTAGGCACCTTTCTGCTCCCTCTGCTCGTGTGTCGTGCTTTTGCACCACCGCCTCATTCCTGCCAATGCCCACCCGGTGGGGAGGCCTATTCTACGACGCCTCCTAAATGGGGCCCTTCCACAAGGAACTCCCAATGCTTGTTGAAGATCCAGATCCCACTGTTGGAGTTTTTTTTTTTTTTTTTTTTGAGATGGAGTCTCACACTGTTGCCCAGGCTGAAGTGCAATGGCTCAGTCTTGGCTCACTACAACCTCCGCCTCCCAGGTTTAAGCAATTCTCCTGCCTCAGCCTCCTGAATATCTGGGATTACAGACACGTGGCACCACACCTGGCTAATTTTTGTATTTTCAGTAGAGACGGGGTTTTACTATGTTGGCCCGGCTGTTCTTGAACTCCTGACCTCATGATCCGCCTGCCTCAGCCTCCCAAAGTGCTGGGATTGCAGGCGTAAGCTGCCGCGCTTCCCAAAGTGCTGGGATTGCAGGCGTAAGCCGCCGCGCCCGGCTTTGTTGGAGATTCTCTGGCCTGTTGTAACCTGAATCCGCCCACTCCTTACCTCCACAGCCCCTGCCTGGTGTAAGCCAGCAGCACCTCTCCTAGGCTTCTGCAGGGGCATCCTGCTCTCCCCACTTCCTCCTGCCTTCCTGAAGTCTGTTCTCCGGACAGCAAGCAGCCAGAACCATGCTTTCCTCATTTGTAACCCTGTTGCTCAAAACTCTTTAATGGCTTGTGACGAAATACAAAGCCCTTAGCATGGTGCCACCATCCCTCCGACATCCTCTCTACTGCCTCCTCCATCCCACTTCCTCCCTCCACGCCAGCCTCAGGAGACTCTAGCTGCTGCTCCTAGACTCCCAGGCACCCTCCTGCCTCAGAATCTCTTCCCCTGAACTCCTTCCTTCTGGAACATTCCTACTCCATCTAGTCATATGACTCTTTCCCTCACGAGTTTTGGGTTTCTCTACCTGAACCTCACCTTTTCAGAGGCCTCCCCTGGCCACCTGATTGAAACCAGTGCCTCCTCACTCTTTACTCTGCTTAGAGTGTCCTAGTTCTTATCACCTCCCCCACTGACATGTGAGCAGGGCCTGAAATGGTAGGTGCTCAATAAATTGTCGTCAGATAAATAACTGAATGAACACATGGCTGAGCAGACTCAAAAGAGAAGGTGCTTGTTTAAGGTCAGGACACAGACCCAGGTCTGCTGACTCAGCCCCTGCAATGCTGAGCCTGCATTGATGCATGGCTTCTGAGTTCCGTCTTCATGCTCATTGGAGACCCATGGGTATTTGTGTCTCTGGTGGGAAGGAAGTATGCTGCTCACCACTCCGTCCCCTGCTCCCAGAGAATCCTCAAGCACTCCAGGATACTGATCCTGGGCCAAGAGGGCCCAAGGAAACTGATTTTCGGAACCCACTTGCCAGCTCATACCTGGCTCCAGTCACACCAAGAGCCAGCTGGAGAGGGCCTGTGTGAGTATTCCAGTGAACAGACAGGATATTTCCCTGGCTTTGGCTACACAGAGCAGCAGCCTCTGCTTTTGAGTTACTTGTCTTGACCCAGACCATCAGCAGGTAAAAAAGTAGGTTCAGAAAGACTGATGTCTTCTCACCCACCCTAGGCAAGCAGAGACAATCCTGTGGACTCTCAGAGCCAAGCAGCTTAGGCACGGCCATCGCCAGCACCCCACAAATATTCCCTAAGGACTCACATGTAAGCTGGACTAGTGGCTAGCAGGAAGCAAGGAGTTTTAGAAAAATGTCATTGCTTACAGTGGAACCATGTCAGACCCTGTCATTTAATTATGCAAAAAGCAATGACAGAATGAAATAAATGCCAGGCTCTTTAAATCTCTCATCCTGAACACCGTGCGTCTCATATCCTCTGAGTATTGCTGATAATGACAGTTTGTTACTTACATATGATTTGGTTGTTTGCAGTGGTCTAATTTGCCATAACACAAAAAGATAGGAGAGGATGTTGTAATGATTCTGAACTTCAGATGAGAAAACCAAGGTAGGGCATACAATTTGAGATTGCTTGGCTCACGGGCTAGACCTGTGCTGTTCAATGCAGCAGCCACTAGCCACAGGTTGCTACTGAGCACTTGAAATACGGTTAGTTGAAAATTGAGATGTGCTCTAAATATAAACTGCATACTAGATTTAGAAGACTTACTATGGAAAAAGTGTAAAGTATCCCATTGATTATTGATTATGCTGAAATGATCATCTTTTGGCTATATTGAGTTAACATCTTAATATACTTTAATATATTATTAAAATTCATTTCATCGTTTTGTTTTCTTTTAAAAATCTGGCTACTAATAAATTTAAAATTATGTAGCTCAGCTGGGCGTGGTGGCTCATACCTGTAATCTCAGCACTTTGGGAGGCCGAGGCGGGAGGATCACCTGAGGTCGGGAGTTCAAGACCAGCCCGGCCAACATGGTGAAACCCTGTCTCTACCGAAAATACAAAATTAGCTAGGCACGCCTGCAATCCCAGCTACTCGGGAGGCTGAGGCAGGAGAATTGCTTGAACCCAGGAGACGGAGGTTGTAGTGAGCCGAGATTGTGCCACTGGACTCCAGCCTGGGCAACAAGAGCGAAACACCATCTCATAAAAAAAAAAGTATGTATCTCGCGCATGTGGTTCCCATTCTACTTCTATTGGACAGTGCTGGGCCACAGTGTTCTGGACTGTTCTGTGATTCACAGCGCATTTTTTCTGTGTTCCTTGACAGCATGGGCTTCTGAGTTACATCTTCATGCTCACCGGAGACCCATTGGCATTTGTGTCTCTGGCGGGAAGGAGGTGTGCAGTGCGCCTGAAGCTACCATGCCCACTTTGCTTTTCACCCCAATAACAAACCCTCTGGCCCGGGGCAAAGAGTCAAGTGCAGAGACTGAGGTCTGAGGATCTCAGAGGCAGGTGGCTTTCCCGTGTTGAGGGAGTTTTGTGCCTCTTTCTTCATATCTTCCTGTTGTGGTTGACTCTGTTAGGCTGGGCTGCCTTGAAACAGTATGGCCCATAGGTTCTTTTTCGCATGTAGACTTCAGCAACTTGATCCAAGCTGTGGTCTGCAAATAACTCTCAGCTGCATCCTGTCTCAACCACAGGGATTGGGGAAAACATCCCGTGAAGAAAAGAATATCAGTTTATAGAGGGAAATGCAAGACTTGCCTTGTGAGCCTGGCGTTCAGGACCAGAGTTCAGCGCTCACCTGCCTTGACACTCCCTGACCTGGCCCCCAAGGTCTGGATGCCCTGGACACCTAGAGACTCACATTCCACACAGAGAAGGATCAGCTCCTGTTCCATGGAACTTGTGCCTCTCTGGCTGTGAGGCCCCTTTCTAAACTCCTGTGCTCTGAGCCTTGCAGTATGAGACATGTCACACGTAACCTGGGTGGGGAGGCATACACAGGATCCTGGAAAAGTTAGCAGCATCTACTGTGTATGGAGATGAAAACAGCTAGTGGATTAGGGCGATGGCTTTATCATGGGTGATGCTTTTTCTTTTCTTGGAATTTGCTTTTAAGTTATTGCATCTCCTTTTCAAAAACAAAAGAGTCACATGTATGTCTTGCAGATATCCTAAAGGCAATACAGATTGTTTAATTTTTGCACTTACTACGCAGGAATCACATGCCACGGGTCCTAATGCAACCATGTGACTTAGGTAGCCCTCGAGGCCTCACTTTGGCCGTGTGAACATCAGGTGTCGTTTGACAGTGAGCCTGGGCTCAGATTTGCGGGTCTGACGATATGCCCAAGTTCAGTTGCTCTGAGTAGACTAGGAAGGTAGAGAAGATCTTTTGATAGTCTAAAGAGGTAATCTTCGGGAGAAGTCTTTGAAATCTCCCTTCATCCAAACACCCAAGATTTCACACCTTGTTTTAAATTGTCTAACAGATTGCAAAGGTTTTTTGGAAACCAGTAGCAATGTTCACAGAACACACACACACAGAACTCGAAGAGTAAAGAGCTATGACCAGCAGTGGAAATGAAGGACAAGAGCTACCCTGCCCTCGGCAGCTTTGCTGTGGCCTCTGTTGCCCTGAGATGGAGGAGATGTGCTGCGTTATTACACCCTTGGGGCCACCGCCACCTCCCTGATCTATTGTGGCAGCCCCAGGCTCTCTTGTCACCTGTCCCAGTGCTATCAGCTGCCAGTGGGCCCCAGCCCCACGCTAGCTGTAAGTGCAGGTCTTAATACAAATTAGCAGCAGTGCAGGCAGGCTGAATGGCAAAACCTCGTCCCGCGCTCCCCCTCCCGCTTGTTTTCATCAAGCCCTCTTCACAGGCACCAGCTGCCTCATTAAAGAGCAGCCTTTTATGCTGGGCTTCACCTGTACCCACCCTGAGCGGCAGCCGTGGAGCCCCATGGCCGCACGCAGGGCTTGCGCTGGCTGGAGGAGGCACGGTGCTTGGGAGCTGCAAGAATGGAGGGAGGTCTGGCAGGCGAGCGGGCGAGGTATGGCTTTCCTTCTTTCTCTCCCTGAGCAGTGGGAGGAGGGCCAGCTGGGCAAGTGTGGGGAACCAGGATGGTGCCAGCCCTTCTCCCTAAGGACACCGGCCTACGGGTCCTAGTGCAGAAGCCTGGCACCGAGGACAGGGCCTTTTTCCAGAGGAGAAACAGCCTAGCAGGCAAGGGGCCAAAGCGATCACCTGTCCAGCTGGGGAGCAGGTGTGAGCACAGGGCCGGGGACAGGGAGAGAGGAGGAGGGAAGCGGAACTGGGAGAACTTCTATGGCTCAGTGAATGAGGAGGTTCTGCTCAGGGAATGAGTGGCCACGGCCACCCCAGCAAGAGAGCCCCCTCCTCCTCTGCGTCCACTTTCCCTTCATCCAGGTGCCTGTGGCTCCTCTCCTTACAAGGTCATGTGTTAGGCAGGTTTGGGGAAACATTTCTTTCAGCTTTTCACATTTATTTTCCTCCATCCCTGGCACCTGGGACCAGCCCTGCCACCTGTGCCTACTGTACATGGCCATAACCCTAAAGGCTCACTCCATTTCAGTGAGTCCTGAGGTGCTGACTTCTCTGCACAGCAAGAGGTCAGTTTTTAACTCAGAAATCCCCAGGGGCCCGGCTGATGTGGAAAAGAATTTTTCCAAAAATCGTCTCTCCACCGTCCACACAGGGCAGGAGCCCGTGGAGTGTGCCCTCCTGTCCCACCATCCCCTGCCCCCTGCTGTCGTTCTCCTTTCCGAGAGACCCCTGCCCAGGCCCTCTGCCCTCTTGCTCTGGGCATCCTGCAAGGGAAGAGCATGCAGTGTGGAGCCCGCCTCTCCCACAGAGGCCGCCGGCCAGTGAAAACCTTGCTCACTTGGTTGCAGGCCAACTGAATCCTTCAAACTTCTGCAGCACTTGGACTGTTTCACAACTGATAAGGATGCAGGGAAAGGCTGCCAGGCCGTGTGTGTGAGTGTGTGTGTATGTGTGTGTCATGTGTATGCGTGTGTGTGCAATAGCCATGCGTGTGTGTGCGGATGAAGTGTACGTGTGTGTGTGCACGTTCTCTGTGTTCAAATGTGTGCTTCCATGTGAGTGAAGTATGTGTGTTCCGTGTTGGAATGTGTACAGTGCGTATCTGTGCATGTGTGTTGACGTGTGTGCATGCATGGAGGCATGCATCTGTGTGCACATGTGTTCTCTGTTGACGTGTGTGCATGCATGTGGGTGGAGTTTTGTGCACACATGTTCTGTGTTGGAGTGTGTGTGCACATGGGCATGCATGTGTGCGAGTGTGTGCCTGCAGTTAGCCCTAGGGCGGGTGAGGGGACCCAGTGCACTCCAGCCGGAGCTCGGTTCAGATGCAGGCAGCAGGGTCTGACCGGGACTGCTTCATCTCCGGCCAGGTCCTTCCGCAGCCGAAGCCAAAGGGCCAAACGCTGGTGAAAAGCCCTGATGTGCTACCGCCTCCCCTCCACTGCCATGGGGATGTTAAACCTTCAGCAATCTGCGACTCTGACGGCTGGTTCTTGGTTCTCTGCCTGGAAAAACAGTAGGCGAATAGTAAAACCTTAAATTCTAACATGTGTGAGTTATACATCTTATTTTCATTTTCAGCCCATGTTCCCCTCTGTAAGACATCAGGAAAAAATTACCATCTGACTTCTAATATCTCAGTGGAGCATTTATCTCCCAGCTATGATAAGTGATCTTCAATATTTTTTTCCTTTCAGATTAAGAAACAAATTCATTTAATTTTCTTTATTGAATGTGCTCAGGCCTCCCCGCCCTGCCTGGGTCTCAGGAAGCCCTGGGCTGATCTCCCTTCTTCTGGGTTAGTGACTGCCGTCCCTGCTTGTGGGATGGGTGGGTCCCTATCTGGCATGGCCCTGCTCCTCAAGGCCTCGCTGTGGTCCGTTCCTGCCCCTGGCAGAGGATGGAGAACAGTGGCCAGGCCTTTGGAACGTCCGGAGAGGTTATGTGGCCTAGAGTTGGAAGGCTGTAATCTGAACCTTATCTGAACTCCTTGGTCTGAAGGCTTGGTTTGGAGCTTTTGAGAGAACTGGCTGTCTCCCAGGCTGCCAGAACCGATGCTTCCTGCTCAGTATAACGGCAGTTACAGCTTCTCCTTGGCCTTCCCATCATCTCCACTGGTCCTGCTGCTGCTGGAGTGGCTGAGCAGCGGGCACTGGGTGTGACAGGGTGGCACCTCCCCCAAGTATGCTGGAGGTGTGTGATGCTGGGCTGGGGGGGCATGCAGAGTGTGTTTGCCAGCCTGCTTTAGGGCACCAGGTGGCCATGGGTGGGACGGCACCCCTCCAGACAGCTGCCCAATCACCAGTGCTGCAAAATACCAGGTGCTGATCAAGTTCTGTAGCTCTAGGCTAAGTTGGATGATCTGCTTTTTCCCTTGTGAATGTCCATACTGCTCCACGATGAGCTTGGGGTCAGGGCTGCAAAATGCCACAGGGCCACCACCTCTCCATCAGGGGGCAGTTCCTGGATTCCATTCCTTCTCCAAGTAGCAACCAGCTCTTTTGCATGTGTGCTTGATAGTGAAGCTTAACACAGAACACCTGAGTCCTGTTTCCACCTTGACTAGCTGTGTGACTCTGAGCCAGACAGCCCTGTCTCGATTTCATTAACCACGAAAAGGAGATAGTAACCCTTGCTGTGCCTATCTTGGGGGTTTATTGGAAAATTCGAATATAACAGTGTATGAGAAATGCATTAAACTTCTCTAGGTACAACAGAAATCACTCACTGAGAAAGCATTTGCTGCTCACCTCCTATGTAAGAATATTAGGGTTAAACAAAGAGTGATGACCATCCTCTCAAGAACTCAGCAGTCAGGAGGCACAGGCCAAGCTAAGAATCAGGCAGTGTGACAAGTCCTTATAACCAAGGCGGGCACCAAGTGCTGGGGGACTGTGGGGAAGGCGTGTCTGGGAGCATGGACTAGGTTGCCTGGCAGTGAGGCTAAAAATGTAAGCTGCAGTCAGACAGGGAGGGCTGCGATGCCACACAAAGAAGCTCAGACCTTGGTCTGAGGGCACTAAGGCGCTGCCAGAAGGTTTTACGTACTGTAATTATAGGGCTGGGCTGGGATTTGAAGGAAACTCTGGTGGCAGCATGGAGGATAGAAAGAGGGCATCATCATCGTCATGGCACCAAGCGCGGCTGGGCAACGGCTCCATGGTCGTCATCGGAGCCCTGGGGCTCATGATTCGGAGGCTGGGGCGAGCTGCCCTGTCAGTGCTGACCGCCTCTGGGCTTTGTCTCTTCTCACCGTAGGGAGTCTCCGGTGGACTGCAGCGTGAGCAAATGCAGCAAGCTGGTGGGTGGAGGCGAGTCCAACCCCATGAACTACAACAGCTATATGGACGAGAAGAATGGCCCCCCTCCTCCCAACATGACCACCAATGAGAGGAGAGTCATCGTCCCTGCAGGTAACTCGGGAAGCAGGCTGCCTGGGTGCCATTCACTTCCCCGCTCTCTTAGGGGCAGGGAGCATCTAAACCTTTATCTAATACTCTATTCCCTGTGGAACTGCAAAATGGAGAAAGCTGCACACGGGCCGGGAGTGGTGGCTCACGCCTCTAATCCCAGCACTTTGAGAGGCTGAGACGGGTGAATCACTTGTCAGGAGTTCTAGCCAACATGGTGAAACCTCATCTCTACTAAAAAAAAAAAAATACAAAAATTAGCCAGGCATGGTAGTGGACGCCTGTAATTCCAGCTACTCAGGAGGCTGACGCAGGAGACTCGCTTTAACCAGGAAGGTGGTGGTTGCAGGAAGCCAAGATCGCACCACTGCACTCCAGCCTGGGTGATGGAGTGAGACTCTGTCTCAAAAAAAAAAAAAAAGAAAGGCCACACATTTTACCTTACTTCCTAGCTGCCCCCTAAGGCAGTATCCCAGATGTCACCTGATGTGTGGATGCTAGAAGCCCCACCCTTAAGCAGACCACATCACAAACTCTACATCAACGGCCTGGTCCTCAAGGATGGGCTGCTCAGAAAGCAGAGGCAAAGCCGCCTCCACCCAAAAGGACTCCCGTGAGCTCTGGATGTGGGCGTCCCTGCCTGTGAGGAGGGGGCAGCTGCAGAGGACTGTCCTTCCCTCCAGGCTTGTACTTCCCGGCATCTGCCGGGTTCCACCTTTCCAAAATTACAGCCAGTTCTTTCAGTTTTAAAATAGAAAGAACTATATTTAACTAATGGAGCGCCTTAACATGTGTGCCACAAGTTATATCATTAGGTAAAAATAGCTTCTTTTTCCCTAGGTATTGGTGCTGTTGGTCCCAGAAAATAAAATCATTGTTCAGTCCTTCAGTCCATTGGCTGGACACTCCACCCCAGCTAGCACCAGCAGGCTCAGCCGCCTGCACAAAAAGGGTGTTTAAAAACTGCCACGTGTAGAACTGGTGCCAGGTAGAAGGAGCAAGGACGTCCAAATCTTAAGCAAAGTGGATTACAGGGCAGAGACTAAACCTGATCTTACCAAAATAACTTTACCAGAGAGGCAAAACTCCTGCCATGTGTAAAAGTGTAAATGTAGTTGCATCTGAAGTCAAAAGGTCAGACATCTCTTTGAGGTAGCCCGAAGGCATCTGCTTGTAGGTCTAAAGGCAGAAATTTTAAGGGACGCCTCCTGCCTTGGCCCGTGGTGTTTGTTTTTCCTGAGAAGTTGCATCTCACCATATCCCTGGATTACAGCTGCCTCCCTGTGCTCTGGGCCACATTCAGGAAGGTGTGAGCAGGAGGGAGGCAGGAGAGGGGTGGGGCCTACAGGAATTTCTCCGTACCCTTTAGGACTTAGAAACGACTCCTAAAGCAATTCTAAGTTTGCTCTTTCACAAGCATCTGACCTAACAAAGGAAGAGGAAGAATCGCTTCTATTTATTGAGTGCTTTCTAGGTGCCAGGCACCGTGTAAATTGCTTTATCTCCATGGCATTACTTAAACCACCTGTCACAGGAGACCAGCTAGTGACGTTTAGCCCAGGTGTGTCGTCTCCCTCCTCACCGAAAGCAGACAAGGAAACCGTACCAGAACTGACAGGTGGGAATCTCTTTGTACACCCCAAAGCAAAGCTGAGCCTCACAGGGTCTTCACTCAAACGGTTTCAAACTCCCCTGCTTCAGCCAAACAGCTCCCAGCCCGGGAGGGAAGGCTTGTGGGACTGAAGGGTTTGGGGATCTGAGATTGTCTTTGAACCAACCTCTGGCACCATCTCATTTTGGGGGTCATTTTTGGGAAGGAATCTGGAAAATGGGCAGAAGTGGCTGGACTGCTACGTCAACCCTCCAAACCTCCAGTCAGTGTTGAAATGCTTTCGAAAGGAATAGCAAAACCTGAGGCTTCAGTGAGCCAAGTTACCTATAGCAGTGATGGTGAAAATAGCACAAATTCATGTCAAATGATTTTCAAAGCACGTCATGTAATGAATTCTCAGGCTATGGATTTACTTCATTATTTTAGCTCCAGCTAGATCTTTCAGATCGTCACACATTTTGGCTTCCTCCAGGCCAGGCTGTGGACATGAGGGGAAGTCTCATTTGGGCAAGTCCACAAATCAAGGCAATAAAATATTAGTGGAATAACTGATTGAATTTATGATGGGATTTAAAGACAAGTATAAATGTGGGCCCTAGTTAATCACTAGCTCCATGTTCAGATGGGAAGAAACTAGGACTAAATCATCCAGGAAATAACATTTGGAAGAGTTTAGCATGATCCAGAGTTGAAGATTTATAATTCATTGTGCTGTAGAGGGAGAGAAATAATATTGTTGCAGAGCCCAAAGCAAGGGAGGAAATAATAAAATAAATAAAATATATGGTGTAAAATTGAACTTGAGGCCTTGGATACTAAAAGTGAGGAACCAGGAGAAGCGAAGAATGAAATAATATGCTACATAATCCAACTCCCCCTACGATATGTTTCTCTAGAATTCTGAAAAGGTGCAAAATTATTTCCATTTGCCAATGATCCATGCCTAATTGCTTCTGGAGAGTAAAAGAGCAAGAAATGTATCTGAGAGAGAGAGGAATACATACTTGCATAATGACGCTTTAGAGGAGCTCTGCTTTTTGGCATCAGAGCAGTGTAACTCACAGGTGAGGTAAAGCAGGATGGTGAGAAGAGGAAAGGGGCTTTGGGAGGGACCCACCTCTTCAACTTAGTGAAGTCCTGTGATGGTTTCTTTTGGAACCCCGGCCCAGATACTTACCAGCAATGGGGCTTTGGGCAAATGACTTAACCTTTTAAGACTCCACAATGCATCTGTAAAATGGGGATATTAAAAGATTTCCTTGGTAAGTACAAACAGGGCTCACGGAGCTGGTGGCACATAGCACCCACCATCTGAACCGTCACTGCTCACGGGGCATTAGGTTGTTGGAATGACATTCAGCAGCAGGCTGTGACCTGTGAACCCAAACTCTCCTAACTCTTCCCCTTTGCCAGCTCCTCCACCTCCAGCACAATATAGCCGCAACTCTCATGCACGGGCAGGGCCTGGGCATTTTGCAAAGCAGACTCGGGCCCTTCCACCCAGATTCTCACCCATAAAGCCAAGGTGGGATGGAGAGCCCAAGGGCAGCTGACACATGCTTGTGTAAAAGTGCTGGGAAACCTGCCTCTGGCTTCCCAGCTGTGAAGTGTGAGCCTTGCTTCTTTCCCCGCGTCCACTCCTAGTCATTCAATCCTGGTTCCCAGCTTTGCCAAGAGCCTTCACAGACACTGTAGAATGAGAGGGTGAGTTGGTTGAGGGGTAGCACAGATATTCCTGCCTAATAAATATGTTAAATCAAACAGGCTCATTAGAAGCCGGAGGCTGATGGCTGACTCACAATAAAATGCCGAGTCTCTCCTCCTCCAGGAAGTCTTCCATGACTCTCCAAATTTTCACGATTCCCTTCCGCTTATGAGTCCTCAAACCACCACCACACAATCCATTGCTTAGTAGTGGTGTGCTTGCCTACCTGTTTCATGGGAATGAGTATTTCTTGAAGGCAAGCGTCATGTAGTTTTATTCTATGATGAGGATATTTAAGGTGTTTATTGGACCTACTAACAATTGGTTGCCAAGTGAAGAGATGGGTTTCAGACTGTGATAAGTGATAAAAGAGTTCTGCCTACTGTGAACCTGCTGGAACTCATCACGTGTGCTGAAAGTGCAACATCCCCAACACACACACACACACACACACACACACACACACATATTGAGAAGGAGAAGGAGGTATGAGTGTCCTACCACAGAGATGGCCTCAGTGGTTACCTTACCTGTGTTCACTCAAGAGCTAAAAGGTTCTCCCCAATACCATCTCTCATCTTTGGGTATTTAAATATCTAAAAAATGTTTTGGGGATGTCCTGGTAGAAATTTCAACACAGCTGTGCTCAAAAGGAGAAAATCTAGATTGGGTTTCTGTTCAGGACTAACACCACTGGGTTTTCAACTGCACAGATGGAATTGCAGTAAAAGCCTCTCTCTCTCTTTTCTGTAGCCATCTGAGGGATCCGTGTTCTTTCATGAAATCATTAATATTCTTGAAATACAGATGGTTCCCCTTTCCAGAGACATTGGTCCCGGGATCTGTGAAATTGTGTTTATTTTCATTTTGATGCCACCATTTCTCAGGCAAAGGTTTCAACTGCTCTCCAGAACTTTAAAGAGTGCTGTGTCAGGCTACGTAGCGAGGCAGCTAAGCACCTCCCTGGAGTGCTAAGTGGTTCAGGCAGCGCCAGATGCCATGGAGCCAGATGGCTGTTCCAGGGGGACCATCTGGAAGGGAGCTTTCCCAGAGAGAGAGAAGGGAGAGAAAGAGGGACAAGGGGTGAGGGAGGCTGCCTAGGCTCTACCTACCTGCAGCCCTTGCTAACAACATCTTCTCCTCTGCAGACCCTACACTGTGGACACAGGAGCATGTGAGGCAGTGGCTGGAATGGGCCATAAAGGAGTACGGCTTGATGGAGATCGACACATCCTTTTTCCAGAACATGGATGGCAAGGAACTGTGTAAAATGAACAAGGAGGACTTCCTCCGCGCCACCACCCTCTACAACACGGAAGTGCTGTTGTCACACCTCAGTTACCTCAGGGAAAGTAAGTGCCACCCAAGCGCCCAGGGCTGGGAGGAAGCTTGGCAAGGCCTGCTCGTTTCCCATGGAGCCAACCCAGGGAGAGGAAGTCAGTGCTGCCCGTTCAGGTTGGGCAGATGCTGCGGGAGCAGCACTGTGGGGCCTGTAGCGTTGCCAAGGTCACGTGGGCTCCTACAGACCCTGCGAGGGACAGACCCAATCCTGAAGTGTCAAAGGAAGTAAAACGAGGAATGGAGAAAAACAGAGAGCTGTGACCTGGAGGGGGTCTGCCAGAGGCTGGTTACACTCTTCCCATGAGACTGCCTTTCCAGAAACTATCCCAATTTGGAAATAGATAGAGATGGGTTGTGCCCTGGCTGGTGTTTTCCTAAGTGATTATTTAAAATTCCTCCAGGAAACTCTACATTCAAGGCTTTTGGATTTAAGGTTTTGAAAACAATTTACATATTAGCTTCCTCTTAATCTTGGGATACTCTGGCACCCCCTAACCCCATTTGACAGGGCTGCTATCTGCACACTTCCTTGATAAGGAAGAGCAGTCACAGTTGCAGGTGTGTTAGGATCTGGAGACTTTCTTCTGGTACAGCTAAGAGAAGGAAAAGAGCTTTGGAAAGGGTGAGCTTAAGAAAGCAAGTGGGCAGTTGTCCAAGAGATTTATCTAATAAGAGGCACTCTAGCACCACGTGCCCATCAGTCTGATATGAATTTCATTTGATATGAAATATACACAGAGCAGAAGAAGGAATTATTTTAGTTCCACTGGTAACCTCAGCCTGAACACTTTGCTGGAAATCCAGGCCGGGTGGTATACCAGTGCTACCCCTACGTATGGAAGGATTGTCCTGGGGCCTGAAAAGATGGTGCTAGGATCACAGGAACACAGGTATGGGCTCGCACTCTGTAAGAGCATTCTAACAGCCCTGTGCAAAGACAGACAGGGCAGCCTTGAGATGCTATTTGTTGTGAATGGCCAAGGTAGCTGGGAGTCTTGCAGGAGTTTAGCTTTGGGCAGGTGATTGATGATGTTAAGCCCCCTTCACAAGTTGAGATCCTTAGACAGCACCTCTGGGACCTGCTTTTCCTGGACTGGCTGGCTCTGGGTTGGTGAGCTCTGTTCGCTCTCCATCATTCGGTGGACCTTTAACTCCCCGGCTTTGGAATCCACTGTCCCCTTCAGCTGCAGTGTTCCTCATAGGGCAGGGGCAACACGTACTGGCTGGAGAAATGAAAAATCAAAAAAATGCCTTTGGAAGTTTCCACTGGTGCCTCTGTGCTCTCTGGTCACCTTTCCGAAGCGTCTGGTAACCAGTGCAAGAAAGTAGATGATGCAGTGTATGTTAGCCCCGGAGCAATTACCTCATGTCTGAGTCTTGCTGTAACATGAGGTCAGCCCAAGAAACAATTTCAAACACGGGGACAATTTTCCACCCAGTTTTTCAGAGTTTTGGATAATTAGCATTTTCTAATTCATATTTTCAGCTTTTAACTGTTTGTGGAATTTTTAAAAATAAGGATCTTTGAACAGAGTCCTGCAGTGATCTAGGCAGGCCAGGGTGGGTGCATGGAGGTTAGCAAGAGGAGGAGAGACCAGCAAAGCAACCTGATTCCAGTAGGAGTTTGCAGGAACCCTGAGCCCTTGCTTTCATTTGCAGGAGTAGAGAGGACAACAGTAGCATAGATGGCATGCTCTGAACTGTTAGTTAAATGGTCCAGTGCTTTGAGACTCCTTGGCAGATGCCCTTGTTGGTAGAATGTTCAAGGCATTCTCTCCATGTGGAGAAAGCCCATTCATGCCATATGACCCCCGGGCCCTAACCAGTCCATAAACAGCCCAAATCCCCCTAGTACTTCCTGCCACCAAACCATGGAAGCACAGATGCTGGAGTGAGACAAATGCCCGAGAAGGTTGTCACTGGTAGAGAGACCTTCTATTGGAGAAGAGCAGATAACAAGGTTGAAGTGGAGGTGCAGAGGATGGCATTTTGGGGGGTATAGCATGGCAAGAAAAAGTGAATCACTTCTTTCATTTTAAGAATATTTATAGACAGAAAATGCCCCCCAATCAATAAAAATGTTAGGTTTCCCAAAAGGGACTTATTAGTGGAGCATATTTCCAGAGCGGAGACGAGGTGGAATCCAGCTTGTATACTGAAGACATTTGAACATGCAGGGCGGATATCCAGAGTTGAAGATGGTGGCTAACAGTAGCACATCCACACGGTGGGAAGTAGTTATTCTGCCATTAAAATGATTATCGGGAAACACCATGAGAAGTGCTTAGGATACGATGTTGGGTGGAAAAGCTCATTATAAAGTGGTCTGTGCACTGATAGAAAAGCCATGCCTGCCTACGAAAGCAAAAAATTAAAATAGTTGTGTTAAATTAAAAAAAAAAAAAAAGAAAACTTGCCCCAACATAGTATTGAAATATCCTTTTGAGGAACCTAGACTTAAAATGATCCACTGTCAGGGAAAAGGCTTTTAGATTCATGCTGCTTTTTAATTGGTGTCTACCTTGGGGTTCCAGCCTTGGGGACCCTCTAGTGTGAGGTGGTGGCTGGCTGCTAAGCGCCTGCAGGAGGCCATGTGCTGGCGATCGCGTCTGCTCTGTCTCTGCTCTGGATTACTGGGAACTCCCCAGTGACAACCAGCACTTTAAACCCTTTTAAAGCTTTCAAACACTTTATTGTTTTTCCAGACTGACTTCCAGTGGATGTTTTGTGCTCAGGAGGAAGGCCAGTGCTTGTGGACAGTTTGAGGCCATGAGTCAAGGCAAGGGGAGAGGGTGCTGATTCTTTGTGCTTTATCATCTTGTCCTTTTGTTGGAGAGGAAGGCTGGGGCTCAGATATTTCCACCTTAGCAAGAGATGGAAGGAAAATAGCTGAGATCCTTCACTCCGGTGGAGGAAGTGCTGCCGGGTGAAGGAAAGTTGATAGAGCAGAACTGGGGACCTGAGCCTGTGGCTGGTTGGAAGTCAGGAGACTCCAAGTTGGTGGCACTTCTCTGATCTAATCTTTCTGGGGCTTAGTAGAAAGTCTAGAAAAAGGAAAACTTCATAGGATAAGAAGCTTTGGCATCAAATTTACATTTTGGTGAAAATGTAAATTTCACTTGACTGTTTATTCTGGTGGTCTGGGAGGGGAGCTAGACTTTTACATTTTAAATGCAAATATATTTTCCAGGGTGGAGAAGGAAGAGCAGTTTCCTAAGCCCCTAGAGACCCTGTCTGATGGCCAGGCGTGCTAGGGAGGTGTTTGTTCTTCACACCTGGGTGTGTCAGCTGTGCCAGAGGAGCTGTGTCACACGCTGCCCACCCTCCACCCCCCCACCCCCGGCCACAGGAAATGCAAGGAGGACTGCGATGACGGGGTGGCCACGGTCCTTGCGGTCATTCCCATGGGTCCTGGGAAACTCCAGGGTTTACACCTGTCAACCCCAGCACTTTGGGAGGCTGAGACGGGTGGATCACCTGAGGCCAGGAGTTTGAGACCAGCCTGGCCAACGTGGTGAAACCCTGTCTCTACTAAACATACAAAAATGAGCCAGGCATGGTGGTGGGCTCCTGTAATCCCAGCTACTCGGGAAGCTAAGGCAGGAGAATCGCTTGTATCCGGGAGGGGGAGGCTGCAGTGAGCTGAGATGGTACCACTGCATTCTGGCCTGGGCGACAGAGGGAGGCTGTCTTCAAAGAAACAAAGGTTGCCCCCTTGTGGACGACTACCTACAATACCCATTTTAAAGCTGAAACCACTGAGGCCCAGACAGCTTCAGAAGTTGGTTCAAAGGCGTCCAGCCAGTTGAGAGCACCTGGTGTCTAAGACTCAGGCGTCTGGAGTCCCAGTCCCTGGCCTTGCGCTGCCGACGTCCCCCCGGCCCTGGAGAGAGCAAGCCAGCCCGCGCCACACAGGCAAGGCAGCCTCACTCCCGCCGGGCCTTCCACGTGGACAGCCCGGCCACTTCCCCCACGGCATTTTCTGTTGTCATTTGTACCAAGAGATAAATGCTTTCCAAAAACCTTCCTGTGGCCTCCTGGAAGAAGGCCGATGAAGCCAAACCTATCGCCACGCTAACTTTGTCCTTCTCTTGGCCTGACTGTCGGCCCCACCAGTATCTCTCCCAGACACAGCCCCTGTGGCAGAGGAACCTTTGCAGCAGCAGCTGCGGGAACGAGATTTGTCCCTTCTCAGGCCAAGGCGGGGATGGATCTCGAAGAAACGGAGGGCGCAGGGCGGGCAGTTCAGGCGCAGGGCCGCTGGGGGGAGTTTGCGCATGTCTGGGAGCCCCAGGCTCCTGGGGAGGAGGGGAGGCAGGAAGAAAAAGAGCCTTTTTTAAATTTTACAAACAAGTTGGTTTTGTATGTCTATCTGGGTCTGACCTGGAAAAAATACTAAGAAACTGCGTCTTCAAACAGTGGCTGCTCAAAAGAATGAAATATACTGCGCGACGGGGAGACCACAGAAAAGGTGGCTATCTTGATTCCCATTTTTAATTTAAACTTTAATGGAAAACACATTTTGCGTTTTGTGGTCTTTCTACCTGCAGCCTCAGATGGTCGGGCAGAGGTTTTGAGTCTGGGCAATTAAGCTGGTGCAATCTTATCACTTCCAGGCCGAGGTTTGACCGGTGAGGGAGAACAGAATTCCAGCTGAACAAAAGGTCAGGTTTCCCTGGACTCAGTAGTCAGCCAGGATTGTTGTTGAAAGAGCCCAGAGCCTTACACCCTCCCGCTCCCGCACCCTCAGCCAGAGCTATCGATATAGCAGTGCAGCCCAGAGAAAAGGGAGACCTGGATTCAATAGGCTGGCTGTGAGGGGGCACTGGTAAATTCTATGGTCACAGCGAGGCAGGAGACAAAGGCTTTGGCACTGGGACTCTTGTGTCCCCTGGCCCAGGTGTCCCCGATGAAAAGCAGGTTAGGTTGGGGGAATGTGAAGCAGCAGAAACCGTGATTGTTGGGGTTCTACCCCACACCTGCAAAGCCTCACACTGCTCACTCTCCTCTCCTTTCAGATCCAGGTACTGTCTCTAGCAGCAGATGGACTCAAACATAGAATGGAAAACGATCTTTTCCCCATGCTTGAAGTTTGGGAAAGCCATTCTATTCTCAGCAGGAACTACTTTATGCTTTTTAGAGCAAAAATGCCCCAATAAATAGATATATGTATATGCATACACACCCATATGCAAATATATACATACAAACACACATACAGAAACTTACAAATAACCAAGTAGGCAAATCTTGTACTTCAGTTTGAACTGAACTATAACACAGAAGTGCAGAAATCATTCAGTGCGCTCCTTGAGGCGTTATCATGAAGTGAATCCACTCACTCGCATAAGCACCTGCCAGGTCAAGGAGTAGAATTTCAGCCCCCTGCACCCTCTCTCCACCCCACGACCACTTCCTCCCCAAAACTAACCACCACCCTGCCTCCCAAGCCCATAGGTGAGTTTTGCCTGTTTCTACGATTTAGCCTGGAGGTGGTGGGGTCTGTCGGACTGAGGATAGGTTTTGTGGACAGACCAGGATGGGGCTCCTGCCTCCTGCAGTCTCTGACTGTGTGATCCTCGGAAAATGATATGACTTCGCTGACTGTTGCTCCTCTCATCTGTAAAAAGGAATAAGGGAATGCTGGTCTGCGTGGCTTATGCAAGGATTAAGTAAGAGAATAGATGGCAAGCGTCTGGCACACTGTGCATGTTCCGGGAGCGTTGCATCCCCCGCTTCACCGTGGCCTGTTTACCCTGAGGTGCTGGTATCAGGAAGGACAGGGAGCTCAGCAGCACAGGCCTGTGGTGGTGTCAGGCCAGAAAGAGCCTCAAGGGCAGGAGAAAGCAGTCCAAAGCCACAGAGAGGGAGGCCGGGCTCCAGGAGGACCTGCCTGCGTCGGACCAAGTTCCTTAAGAAAACAGAGCCTGGGGAACTGATGAAGTAGAAATTGGAGAAGAGGAGGGAATCTGGGTCCCCTGGGTGAGAGGCCAGATGCCCCCAACCAGCCCCTGCTCGGGGAAGGCAGCCTCTCCTTCTAGGAGTGAAACTTGAACCGAGAACAGTCTTTAGGGCAAAATCCTCTTCCTAGGTTGCCATGAAATATGTATTTCATGCAAGCTTTGGAGAGGTCAAATGACCCTTTCTCTTGGCTTTCTGGGAGTTTCCTGTGGAATTCATGTGTGCCCAAAGAAGAACTTTCACCAAGGGGGAAATGTAATAAATGTGGTTTATCTAAGGTTCGTGCTTTCGGCTACATCTGCACTAATGACTCAGGCAGTTTGCTCCTCAGAGGCCATCATTTTTCTTTATTTGCTCCAGCAGTGAGGTTTCAGCCTGAGGGAGAGAACATCAGGGACAGAGAGGCAAGCATTCTTGGTCCTGCTTCTGGGAATTTTTTGTATTCCCTCGGAACGTTTGGTTCCATTTCTTCACTTCCTTCCAGTCGTGCCGGATTATTTCTTATTGCAGCAGAACCCATTCATTACTTTAATCGGAAGACAAGACTAATGCTCAGTAAATGCATGTATAAAGAGAACTATTGTATGTAATTGTGACATCTGTGGGAGAAAGGATGTAAAAATAGTAATGATCATAGCTAGCATTTATGGAACACTTATGAGCCAAGGTCCATTCTGAGCACATTACATGCATTATTTGATTTAATCTTCACAATGCCATTAAGTGGTATTCACCCATTTTGCAGATGAGAAACTGGTGGCTCAGAGAGATGAGAGAAATCAATGGAGAGCACAAAGCTAATTGGTGATAAGAGGCAGGTCTAATTTTAAACTCTCATTTGCTTAATAAACATGCAGTCATGCTTTGCTTCATGATGGGGATAGCTCATCTTCATGTGAATACCACAAAATGTTCTTACACAAACCTACATGGCATAGCCTACTACACACTGAGGCTGTATGCTACAGCCTGTGGCTCCTAGCTTTCTAACCTGTATAGCATGTTATTGTACTGAATATGGTAGGCAATTGTAGCACAATGGCAAGTATTTGTACATCTAAACATTTAAAAGATACAGTAAAAATACACTGTTACTGCTGTCAAATATGTGGTCCATCTTTGCCCAAAACATCATTTTTTGCTGCGTGACTATTAACAGGAATTTGTCCCGGCCTTACTTTGTCACTGATATTCTTGAAAATGGAATAACCAAATGTAGCTGGCTCTTGAATGTTACATTCATGTGACTGTCTGATTTCTAACATGGCATCCACGTAGCCACACTTTGGCATACAGAGGGCTCAATACACCCCCATCATCCCCCTTTTTGTTTTCGTCTGGAGCTGCTGCAGAGCTAGAACTAACAGTCATGTTCTAGGCAGTTGGACAATTCTTATAAAATTCTCTTCCTTGGCCGGGCGCGGTGGCTCAAGCCTGTAATCCCAGCACTTTGGGAGGCCGAGGCGGGTGGATCACGAGGTCAGGAGATCGAGACCATCCTGGCTAACATGGTGAAACCCCGTCTCTACTGAAAATACAAAAAAAAAACTAGCCGGGCGTGGTGGCGGGTGCCTGTAGTCTCAGCTACTTGGGAGGCTGAGGCGGGAGAATGGCATGAACCCGGGAGGCGGAGCTTGCAGTGAGCCGAGATCACGCCACTGCACTCCAGCCTGGGAGCACAGCGAGACTCCGTCTCAAAAAAGAAAAAAAAAAAAATTCTCTTCCTTGGCCGGGCACGGTGGCTCACACCTGTAATCCCAGTACTTTGGGAGGCCAAGGCAGGCAGATCACCTGAGGTCAGGATTTCAAGACCAACCTGACCAACATGGAGAAACCCCATCTCTACTAAAAATACAAAATTAGCCGAGCATGGTGGCGCATGCCTGTAATCCCAGCTACTGGGGAAGCTGAGGCAGGAGAATCGCTTGAACCTGGTAGGCGGAGGTTGCAGTGAGCTGAGATCACGCCATTGCACTCTAGCCTGGGCAACAAGAGCGAAACTCCATTTCAAAAATAAATAAATAAATTCTCTTCTTCATCGTCTGGCTTGGGCAGTGCACACATTTTCTCTGAGGCACACAACCAAACGCCCACAGCTGGGTGAGGCAGCAGCTCCATGTCTGCATCCCTTCCATGACTGGAGACTAAAAATAGGAGTGTCTGACAGCCCATTCCCACCCCTGGCACCCAAGCCAGTCCACTCGGCCACAGGGAGCAGGGAAAAGGGTTGTTTAGAAGAATTTTCTTAGCCTCGAACACATGTGTTGAGCTTACGGTATGTTTTGTAAAAGCAGATCCCAGCCCTAGTTTCGAGAGCTCTTTAAGATTTCCCTAGGAGAGTCTCAAAGAGAATGGCAAAAATGCCTAAATTTCACAAATTACAACCTTGAATTCACTTTAAACAGAGGAACAAATCTAGTTTTAGGAAAGAAGGGAGAATATGTTTTCCATGCAACAACAGCAAATTATTCTTTCAAAGTTCTGGGTATAGAAGAGGTATGCATTGATGTTGAATTTTTAAAGATTGGATATCAGCATTCTGAGATTACAGAAAATTCAACGCATGACTCTTCAGGTTCAGTGCGTGCTCTTAGACATAGGTGAAGGGAAGCAAAAGTTCCTATTGGAATACTACCACTCACCTCCTTCCCAACTCCCAGCGCCCCTCCACCAGTAACAGATACCCGTGCACCTTACCCTCACCTGGGAAAGGACCCATATGTATGTAAACCCAAAGGATACCACAGCAGGAAGGAGCGATACTAGCTTCTCCGCCAGGCCATGGCAAACTATAAGCTGCAGGCCAAATCTGGCCCATGGGCAAAACAGCAAAAACTAAGAAGACTGTGCAACAGCGACTGTAGTTAGCCTATAAAGCCAAAATATTTACTCTCTCCTTTTGATAGAAGAAGTCTGCCAACCTCTGCTGTAGTTCAAGAAAAAAAATCAAAATCTAGACATGTCAAGTCACTCACCAACTGTCACATGGTGAGTTAATAACAACTGGAACAGACCCGGGTTTACTGATTCTCAGTGCTGTGTTCCTATCATGAGATGGCACAGACCAGAGCGTTTCAGAACGATGAATATGGCAGCTCAGGGGTCATGCTGTCTGTTTCCCCAGAGAGCATTTCATTCCAATGTATTCTGTCTCTTTACTCCGTAAAGTTATTATAGGCCTGTATGATCATCTCCGAGCAAACGGATTCCATTCGCTTTTCCTTTCTTTCTAGGAGTCCTCTGTCCCTCTTCCCCTCTCCCCATCTCTTTCCCTTTCCACTCCCTCCCCATGTCATCTCCTACTCTTGATCTCAGAAGAACATTTTGGTGATAACCTGTTTATGTTTTGCCTCTCAGGTTCACTGCTGGCCTATAATACAACCTCCCACACAGACCAATCCTCACGACTGAGCGTCAAAGAAGGTAAGTTTGTTCTTTTGTGCACTTAAAATTTTCTTCTGAACCAGACATGACACAGTCCCGTGCAGTTAAGGTTGATGCAAAAAACCAGCTTGTTCCACTCAACTTTTCCTAGCATACAAAGACGAGAAGCCAAAGACTTTTGCCACTTGTGCTACCAGTTGCAAAAATACAGTAAAGAAGGTTTTACAGTATCTTGTAATAATATCACAAAGATACAACTTGAAGTTGTCATTCCATGCAGGAAAACATGTTACATTTAGGAAAAAATGAATGCTGCTTACTTTCAAAGTTGAAAGTTGGGAGTTTTCTCCGATGAAAATAATGAAATGAGGATTTCAAGGATTCCAGCATGTCTACCCTTAAAGGTTTTTTTCCGAAGAAATTTTAGCAGCCGGTCATAGTGGCTCACACCTGTAATCCCTGCACTTTGGGAGGCTGAAGTGGGTGGATCACTTGGGGTCAGGAGTTCGAAGACCAGCCTGGCCAACATGGCAAAACTCCCATCTCAGCTAAAAATACAAAAATTAGCCAGGCATGGTGGCAGGTACCTGTAATCCCAGCTATTTGGTAGGCTGAGACATGAGAATCGCTTGAACCCAGGAGGCAGAGGCTGCAATGAGCCGAGATCACGCCACTGCATTCCAGCCTGGGCGATAGAGTGAGACTCTGTCTCAAAAAAAATTTTAGCAATGTCAATACATTTTTTAAATGGTGGCTTAAGGGTTTGGTCTGGTTTGGTTTGGTTTTGTTGAGAAAGAAAACTGCCTCAGCAAATGCTCTTTGCCAACGAAGATTTTAGTAAATGTCACAATAGCATTGCTCAGTGTCTTTATGAAACGTCATGAGGAGTGGTTCCGATACTGTGTTAGATTTCAGGCATTGAAACAAGTGAATAATTCATGGTACCTGGTTTAAAGGAGAAAAAATGTGAACGCATAATTATCAGGAACCAGAGAGAGACTGGAAAAAATACTTGCATGGCATGGCAAAAATTCCACAGAGGAGGGGACTTTTGAATAGGAGCTTGAAGAATAAATAATAAGAGTGTGGCAGGCACTCTATCCTCCTTGGCTCGCTCTCTGTCCCCAGTTTTTCTCTAACTCACCTTCCCCATAATATAGAAGAAAGGCACAAGCTCTCAGGATCAGTTACGTATAGCGCAGCAGAGCATAACCTTTCAGAGAAACAAAGGCTCTTCAGAGGAAAGACCATTTGGCTCAACATCCGCATGGGGTGGGAAGGAAACAGCGACCCAAAGACACTCGCTGGGTGTCTTGCCCAAGGTTACAACTTGATCACATAGAAATTTGTGTTTCCTGTTAACAATTTATAATTGAATAATGGCCAGAAGGTTTAGTGGAAGAGTTATACCACAGAATGAATCCACTTTTAAATATTTATGTTTTTTCATTTGCTTCCTTCTCCCCTATCCCACCCTGAGCCAGTCCTGTTTCTGCCACTGTTTTTCCTTTCCAAATCAGATTTCTTGAGTTTTGTCATGAAAACTGACTTTCTATGGATTCATTCTGCATTGTGAGTCAGATTCCACTGGATGACCTATTTTAATATGCTGTTGCAAATGTCTGTAAGACAGAAAATATATTTTAGTGGCAAACGCATTAGATTGAAGGTCAGGGCACCTTTGGCTTCCCGTGAGAAAATCACTTCAGACCCTGAACCTCAGTTTCCTGTCAAATGAAGGGAGGAACTTGGTCAGCAAGAGGCCAGCCCTGACTCTGGAGCTTCTAAGGAGGTGACAGGAGCCACAGTGCGAGGGCTCAGGAGCCGCTGCCCTTTGATTTCATTTCACATACTGGGTTGTATTTCATTTGTGGATAGGGATCCGCAAATGGAAGGGAGGAAAAAAGAAGGGGAAAATGACTGCAGGGAGAGAAAGAGAGAAGGAAGCGAAGGGAAGGAAGATAGGGAGGGAGGGAAGCAAGGCTGTAAGGAAGGAAGGAAGGAAGGGAAGGAGGGAGGGAGGGTTGGGAGGAGCCCTAACCTCTGAACTGCTGAATTCGAATTTTTGTCAGTTTCTCCAACACTTCAGGCTACAACCTGCTACCAACATCGGAATTAGCCAGTGAGGCTCTGAAGCAGAGCTAATGAAAGATTTTCTGATACTGGGCTTCAGATATAGGGTTTAGTTTAGAAACTGGTTTATCCAAATTGAAATGTGTTGCTAACCACCTCCTTCCTCCTCCTCCTCCTTCTCCGCAGGTCTTATTGTTCAGCCCTGTCCTCTACCTGCCATATGCATTTCCTTCCCTTGGCCCTTTTGTGTTTAGGGAGTACATTTGTAACACTGCTGGCTCATTCAGGCTTATTGCGGGAGCAGCTCCCTCTTGCTGGGTAGCAACCCCTCTTCTGAAATGAATTAACTGTAGTATCCAGGCAAACGCACGCTGCCAGGACCTTATTCAGGTGGTGCCGGCATTTATCTCCCAACATTGGGCCTGGCCTCTAGAGACGATTAAGCCTGTGCTTTGCAGGTGCATCTTTTGTCCCCAGTAAAGCTCTCCACTTGAGCTGTCTTGCTCTTCTATGCCTTCCCCTTGTGAGGTGGTCTGAATCTGTCTGAACGACCCATCAAGCCACAAAACAAAGTACATTAGCAAGACAAAGCTAACCAAGCCCTCCCTCTATCCCTCCCTGCCTCCTCCCCACCTCTCACTGGCTCTCCTGCCCTGCTCTAAACACTATCTATTAGCTATTAGAAGACATCAGGCAACCTTGGCTCCCTCTTCTTTGAATAAGACACACACAGCCCCAAACAAATCCAGAGTTCATCAAGAGCACCAGAGCTCTGTGTGTGTGTGTGTGTGTGTGTGTGTGTGTGTGTGTGTGTGAGTGCACACTGGTGCAATCCACAAAGGGCAGGTGCTGACATCAAGCACAAAGCAAGGAAATTGAGGAGATGCTGTCTGTTAATGTGTCTTCAAAGTGCTTATCAAATTAGAATGGCTTTTTGCTTTAAAATTGTATAATCACCCTTCCAGCTTGTCTCTTGAAAATGGCTGCAATCTCTAGGGGTTTTTTGTGCCCAGGAAGTAAGACTAGATTTTAAAAATTAATTTAGAACAATCTTTAAGCCCCTTTAAATTAAATATTCTATGGACATGGATTGGATCCAGCTAGCGCAGTTATGCTCTACCTTTAGTTTATCAACGCTAATGCCCTTAAAAAATAAATTAGGATAAAAGCTATTGTTATCCATTTACAATAGCAGCCACAGCTGTCACCTATAAAGGGTTTTGGAATATATCAGACACCTTCACACGCTTTGCTTTGGAGCCTTGCACTGGGTCTTTGAAGTAGATATTATTATCTCTATTTTGCAGACAAAGAAAGTGGGGTTCAGCACTATTAAGTGACTCACTGAAGGGTACACAGCTACTCAATGGCAGAGCAAGGACTCAAACCAGATTAGAGGATTAGACTAGAAGCCCCTCACTTTCTGGCAAATACAGCCTTTCTCTTCCAGCTGCCTTTCTGCAAAAGCAATACCTACCCTAAAAGTAACTTGGGCAAAGATGTGAATGTTTTGCATTACTTGATTTCTGTCCATGCGGTTTTCCCACTATCAGCTCCAACTTCATCCCTAAACTCTTCTCTTTCCAAAGATGAACCGATACACGACTTATGGTTGGCATCAGCCCTTAGTTCTGAGAGCACAGAGGATCACCTGGAGATCTTTAAAAATACTGACCCTAGGACAAATATTGCATGAGCCCACCCATAGGCGGTAACTGTCAAGTTTATAGAACCAGAAGGTAGATAGTGGTTACCAGGAGTGGAAATGTGGAATTAGTGTTTAATGGGTAAGAGTTTCCATTTGGGAAGATGAAAAGGTTCTGAAGATGGATGGTGGTAATCGTCACACAACATTGCGAAGGTACTTAATGGCACTAAATTGTACACTTAAAATGGTTAAAATGGTAAGTTTTATGTTACATATTTTACTAAAATTTTGTAAATGCAAAAATTAAAATAAAAAAATACTGATGCCCAAGTGCCAAAAAATGACGCATTAATTCAGAATCTCCAACGATGACTCCTGGGCGTTGGAAATCTTTTAGAGCTCTCCGGGTTATTCCTATAAGCCAAGCTGCAGCCAAGCTAGAGGAGCCTGCTTTATAGAACAGAGACAACTGGAGAGAAATGAGGCCCATTTAGAGCTACTCCAGATTTCCCTGGAGATACACTGGGCAGTTGTCTGGCCCCAGACTGTCCTAGAAAAGGAATAGCAGGCCCTACTGGTATATTGACAAAGGTGTAGGTAAGTGAAGAGACTGTACGATCCTGATTAGATTTTTTGTCATTGTCATTGATGACTGATTTTACTAATGTATGATATTACTGATTTTGACAACTGTACATTAGTACATCTCAGAAATTTCTTTCTGACATGTCCTCATTCAGTCCTCTAAAAAGTAGATAGAGTGTTGGTAACGTGATTTTACGGGAAGGACACTGGGGTTGCAGAAGTTAAGTGACCTTTTCAAGCATATAAGAGTCCTGGAGTCAGGGCTACTGACTTTCCACACCTTGTTCTCTCCAGTCCTCCAGGCTGCAGATGTGCGTGTGTCTGCCCTGGTCCCAGGTCAGAGCTTCACTTTGTTTTTCTGGGCAAAGCCTGCCGGAGGCCTTCCCAGCTCACTCAGCTGGCCCAGCAGCGTGCAAGAATCAGCACATCTCCTCCTCAGAGCTTCTTTGCATGCCTAAGCCCTCATTTCCTTAGTTCCTCATGCTGAATCTGTTTAAATACCTCTGACTTTCCAAAAGACAGAGGATATTGAGTTCCTTGTTTATTAACTCCTGGAACTCATCAACCGGCCAAGGGCCTGTGGAGCATTGAGCTTCTAGCCCCAGCCTGGGAGCCTTTCAGGGCTGCCATTGAACGCAGAAACAGAAAACCGCAGCCCCGCTGCAGGCGGAATGGCCATCTCCAGCCATTGCCTTGGCTAATGGATAAAAAGTCTGTCGGCTTGCATGCTAAG